TACTAACACAGAGTCCGGGTCTGGCTCCCTGCGGTGGTGAGTGGGGACTGCCCAAATCTCCAAAGCTCTCTGGATCTTTTCTGAATCAACTTGGAGAGCTTCGAATCGATTCGGATCTTTTTATTAGTCTCCCAATTTGATTCAGATTTGGAGATTTGGCCACCGAATTGAGCTAAATCTCCGAATCGAATCAGCACCCAAAGCTTCACACAGCCCTACTGATCAGCATGTAAAAATATATTTGTTATGGTGCCCTCCTTTGCACTTGCTTTTATTTATGTGGAGCAACTGGCTCGATGTAAAATAATACTGACAAACCAGACCAATAAGAAATTATGAGATCATATGTCAGAAGTCTTGGAAAAATTATGCTCATGGTAGTTCAGTGAGGATTTCCAGTGCATGTTTCAACTTCACGTAATGGCATAGCGAATCTCAATGGATAAGTCTTACAGCAGCAGGGAAGTCTTCCACTGCCTTCCACCAAAAAGTAAAACATATAGTATCTGGCAAAATGTTATAATTTACACACTATAGTTTTGGTAAACATAAAAAATTACATGTTATGTTTTATAACATTTTTCATAAACAAACACAAATTGAATAAATAAACTAAAATTAAAAAAAAAGATTTGAAACTGGATGATACACTGTGATGCTCCACCCACCCCACCTGTCTCAGAGTTTACCAACCATCAGTGCCGACATGTGCAGCTCCCAGGACTCGTTGGGGAGCTGTGTGCTGCTGGGGGCTCCATCTGCTGCAGGCCATGACAGCCCCAAAGAGATGCTACTGCTTCCTCTGCTTTCCCCCACCCCCAGTTGCTGCTGCTTCACCAGCCTTCTCCCCCACTCAGCGCTGCTTCCCCTCCCTATCTGATGCCCTGAACGTTGCAGCAGGGACAGGAGGACGAGGAGCTACTGGAGGGTAAGGCGGGGAGTTGAGCAGCAGCAGCCTTGCTGGAAAGCTGTGAGAGGGTGAAGGTGGGAGTGCAGTGTGCGTTGCCCTGAGCAGGACTGGGCATAGTTTGGCCCCATGCAGAGTACAGCAGGGGCAGCTGAGGCCAGGCTGGATACAATTAATTGGTGGGCACCCACCTGTGGGCCAGATTCAATTAGCTGGTGGGCTGGATCTAACCTGTGGGCCATACTTTTGCCCACCCCTGCCTTACACTCCAGCATCCCAGACTGACGATTTAAGCTTGGTTGGGATGATCTAGTTGGGGAAGGTCCTGCTCTGAGCACAGGGTTGGACTAGATGACTTCCTGAGGTCCCTCCCAACCCTCAGTTTCTACAATTCTAAACTGTGCAGGCTCTCCTGCTGTCCAAGACAAAAATATTTGTTGGCTTCGGGCAGTGTTAGGTTTATGGGTACTGGTCCTATCTGGAATTTTACAGGCTATTAAAATGGGAATGTCTTTAAAATGAAGTAAGCTATCTGCAGGATATAAATGCAGCCAGAAGCAAAAGCATTTATTTGGTTAAAATTGATTTCCAGATGAAGAAAAGTATGTTATGTGACAAAGTTATGCAAAAGGTTATGCATTTTGCATATGGTAAATGTGTATATTTTTACTTGCCGAAAATGTACACTAGTTGGTTGCAAACTTTGTTCAGACCAAGCCGTGTATACAACTTCAGCATTGGACACAATTTAATGGCCAAGTTTAAATTCCAAAAATAGGTGCTTACTTTGGAAATCCTGAGGAGCACTTAATTATAATGGTGCTAAAGTAAACACTCCTAATTTAAGGCCCTGCATAAACTCTGAAAATGCCCTTAAAAACGTTATGTAAAAGGTATGTTTTATAAAATATGGATTACTTCCCTTTAGGTCCAGTTGTGCTAAATTTTTATTATAGTGTGTTTCCTGAAGAGAGATTATGTAGTGATTCTGGCCAGCCAAACCACGTTTAAACAATTCTGTCCTGAAGGAAACATGGTTTAGGATGTAATGTGCATGGGGCCTTAAAACTTTCTGTTAGAAGGCTAGAGAGGCAATTAGCTTTACAGCTGCATCTGTAAGTTTTTGCAGACCGGGCAGATCTGCTCATTCCTGCCTTTCAGCCATATGTGAAAAGATGCTAGTCAGAAACTAGAGATGGCTGGAGGAGATCAATAATAGGGAGGTAAAAACCACCAGGGAAACTAAATTACCATGGCAGTTAGTTACCATATAGTTGTGTGTCCTTTGCTTTTTTGTGGGGGGTTTTTTCTCTTCCTTCCTATCTCTTGATCATTCATCTACAAGACAGAAAGGTCCTAAGTTTGAAGATTCCTGGGATTTTGATCAAGAGAGGCATTGTTAACCGGGAAACCAGTATAGCTGAAATACCTGACTAGCAGGTACCGGAAGCTAGGGAAGAAAAGCCCCGTGAAAGGGGAGGATAAGGAGCTGATACTCTGAAGCTGCAGAAGAGTGCTGCTAACATCAACTGTTGCTAGAAAGGAGTTTCATTTACAAGGCCTCATCCAGTACAGATGATGTAGTGTGAACGAAAAATCACGTGGAATTAAACTACAAAAAGAACGAAAGAAAAGGAAGCTCTTGGCACTGGTCAAAGAGTAAATACGGGAGGTGATTTAAGTCTCTTCCCTTCTCAGCTGAAATGAGCCAAACCCCAGGTTAGAACCTCAGGAACTTTGCACTTGTTTAATAGAAGCAAAGTTTGCCTCCATCACCTCAAGAGCCTGATCCTAAGATGTACTGATCATACATCACTTCCATGGATGCGTTGTTTTTTTGTGGGTTTTTTTTTTTTTTTACTACACAGGCATATGCAGGTGCTAAACATTTCAGTCATCACTTGATAAGAGCAGAAAGGGAGTAGGGACATTAATTGTGTATCTGTGGAAATTGGGGTAGGCTCTTGACTGAAATAGATGCTTGTTTGTGTGATGGAGGTTTTGCAGCAGCTGAAAGGTAAGCATTATACAGGATAGTGAAGCAGGACAGCTGGTAACAGAAATCCGTGATTAAATTCAAACAAACAAACAAGTCCTTGCCACAAACTCCAAAGGTCATGAATTCAGAGCATTTCAGCATAGCCCTACAAAGACCAATTTGGCATTCTTCTAAAACACTGTAGTTTTTTGTTTGAAAAAGCTTACTTATTAAGAACGTTGCAGCTAGGTACAGACGTTGAAAAAGCCCGAGGTGGACTCAATCCAAGTGATGCAGTTTTCTGTAAGAGGCGTAGGGTAGATCAGTAGCAAACAGAACGCACGTGTGTCCTTTGGCGGCGGGGGCAAATTGTAGACGGGGTCTACCATTTTTAATCCATACTATGTGTGCCGAACTTCAGTTCTCTTACAGGCATAGACCAGTTTTGTGTGCCGAACTTCTGTCCTGTTATGGGTATTAAATCGGCTTCCAATCACTTGTACCGGTAAGAGTGTGATGTCTGTACCTGGCCCACAGGTTTATTTCTGGATGCTATGGAAGAGAAATAATTATCTGATTAACTTTGGGAGGACTCCTGCTATGGTAGTATTTCCTGAGTCCCGTGCCACGTGAAAGGTACTGCTGAGACTTCAAACTGGAATCGGAGCTACGTGGCTATAAGAGGTCTGATTATACAGAGAAATTCTGGTCAGGCAGTTGGGGTAAATCTTGGCTGCTGGTGTGACAGAAAGTGGGGCTCAAAACTGGAAGGAAAAAACATTAGCTTAGAGACCTAGGCTCTTGGGATATTATGGAGTAATACAAACAAATCCGATCCTTTATTTTTAACTACCGCTATTTGATTCTTCCATTATATTCTGAAATAAAGCACATCTGAAAACTTCAGGTAATAAAATAATGTCATGAGGAGTCTACTGCAGTTTTTGTTGATTGTTTGTTTTATAATCAAAGGGAAAAGGTTCCCAGGTATGCTTGCAGGGAAATAGTCAGTACTTAATGATTGTTGCTGGGGTTTAGGCTCCTAATGCCTCTTGTTACTACAGAAATCTCCGTCTTCTAAGGTATTTTACTTGAAGGTTTCTTAACAAAAACACTTGGCAGGCAAAGTGACATATTTGTAGCTAAAGATCTGAAGGGCTGCTGTTGTGATTTGCACTCAGATATATTGTAAGACGACATGTCAAGGATCCTAAGTGTTCTGTGATTTGTTCAAACTTGTGACAAACTCTTATGGCCATTTTGGATTTATTGCACACTTTTATTTATTTATTTAATTAATTCTTTAGTTGTTTGCCCCGCTAGCTGCTGGAGTTTGACTCTTACTTCCTAAACATTACTTAGGCAAGGAATTTTATATGTGTGTTGAGCTTCTGGAGGAGGTCAAATGCAGGGCAGCCAGTCATTTTATGCTGTCTAGCCCTGTCAAATTGTCTTACATGACTGTAATACTGCCTTGGTTGCATAATAAGAAAGCTGAAAAGATATAAATGTCAAGATAGCCAAGTTCCCACGGAAGACTGGTTTAGAACTGGAGCTTATATTAAAGCTCATGTTACTCACTGGCCTAATTAAACCAGACAAGCCTTTATACCTGCCAAATGTATAAATAAAGTCTATGACTGCATTGTGCTGATGCAGCCCGTTGATAACCATGATGTCTTGTCAGGTGTTTACTTCTCAAAAGGGCTTGGTTTGGGTGGTGGTGGGGGGAGAATTGCGCTGCTCGAAAGTGGAAAATGTTTAAATAGCAACAAATTATAAAGCCATGTGAAATTTGCTTTTCAGCCTGAAAGAATGATTTATTTACAGTATTAAACGGTACAGAACTCACATCTCATCAATGTAACCGTCACCTTGCATGCTTCTCAACTGAATAAATCACACTTCAGCAGTAGCTGACATTTGCATTGTTTTCTTGCAAAAGTCTATTCTCATTTGCGCTGCTTGATAGACCCAAGTTAATGCACTTGCCTTCTTTTGATCATTCCCCATACTCTCTCTTTTTTTTTTTTTTTTAAGACAGCATTTTATTGAAGTATTTAGAGGTAAATGGACTTGGCAGACAGTAAGTTTAATATTCATTTTTATATTTAGGAAGAATCCCAGACACTTCAGAAAATGAGTTGAAATCCAAGTGGGAAAAACTGTTGGGACCTGATTATGAAGTCATGGTATGTTATTCTTCAGTAAAGTACACTCATGTATGTTGTTTCTTTAATTTAAAGTGCTGTAAGCTTAACATTACAAGCTGTTTATAGAAATGCTTAATGATCGGAACAGATTAGTTGTGTAGATTTTTCCTCCCAGAACATCAAGGATAAAATACAAGGATGTAATACGTAACAGCTAGTTTTTGTTCAATTTATATTGACACTATCATTTTAAGCATGAGTAGCATTTAAAAGCCCCCGCCCCCCAACAATTTTGTCTTTAAAGTTGCATCCTATCAGTCACTGAAAATATTTGGCATTTTTATGACTGCTTTTTATGATCTGTTTGTTTTACTGTAAAACTTAAAAAAAAAAAAAAAAAAAACCAGCTCAGGATATTACTAGTGTGTTTCACAATGAATATTACAGTTTTATTAGAAGAATGAAAGAATGGTTATCAAATATATTGGCAAGACAAGGCAGTAATTCAACTTCGGTGTAACTTTATGGTGCCAACTGCTTGTTAGCTTTTTGTTCATATATTACAGAATAGTCAGGCACGAGTTTGTTTATATTTCTAAAGATGAATCAACACAAAGGAAATGATGGTAGTATTCAGTACTATTTTTAAAGCAGTGCTAATTGAATAAAACAGACAAACCAGCATCCTTTCTATTTCTTTAAAGACCTGTTTATCCCTGCAATACATGTCCGCTTGATTCAGAGACTTTTTTTTACTGCTTGGCACAGATCTGTTGCTGGAGGATTTAAAATAGCATTAAGAAGTAACCTGAGCAGCACCCTTCTTTGCAATCCATTAGTACTTCTTTAAGGTATGAAGTCTGTGAAAGATTGAGCTATAATTCAACACAGCTCTGCAGTTGCCCATTCTAAGAGCTAGGTATCCCCATGCTGGCACAGCCAAAGCCTACTTTTTATTAACACTATCCTATTTGCTGTTGTAGGTATGGGATGTGAAGCTCACTGGGCTGTATTCCAAATTATTCTTTCATTGCAGCCAGTTTGTTTGCATGGGTGAATATTTGGTACATTTAAACAGCAGAAAGCAATGGCCAGAACAGCACTTTTTAAAATGAATGCCCTGTGTCTATGCTTCTGCAACATCATGCTTTACTAGAATATGCCGTTTGGTATGAGGCTGATAGTACAAACCCCTGACTTCCCTAGGGTGTGTGGACAGAGGTAACATTTATTTGAAATGTTTTAAATGGCTTTGAAACATTTCAGAAGGCTACTGTGTAGACATATGGATGGGATAAAACATTCCCAAGTGTGACAAAAAATGCCTACAGAGAGCAGGTACTATTTTGTACCACTTTGTCCCTCCATATGTCTTAGGTCAGTCCATTGGTCCTTCAGCATCCCACAGTGCAGTGTTCTTCCTGTGGTCTCCTAGCACTTTGTTTGCTGTCTCCTCCCCCCATTTCCCTGTGTGCTGGCCAGGCCCGTTACACTTGCAGACGTTCCAAACTTTACATCTATTTTGACCCGTAGTCGCTGTTTCCATTTTCAGTTCCACTGAATTTAGCGAGGTTACTAAGTGTGACTAAAAGTTTGAAAGATGGATCCCTTTTTGATTATTTTCATTAGTCACCAAATCCATATATGAGGAATGGGTTACAGAGCATAGGATTCAGGTTCAGACCCTGCCTGTGTCCTTTTGACAGCTTGCAGTGATAACTCTAAGCCACTACTAGATAAAACCCTTTTGCAAGAGGGTAGAAGACAGCCAGACCTTGCTGATGGCCTCTTGGCTCCTGTGAGACATCCTGTTATTCAGTTACCTGAATCCTACATCAAGATGCTGTTGAATTGTCACAGCAAGTGGCTTAGCTTACTTCCAACTGGGACATAAAATAGATTTCAGCTACTTGGGAGCACAGGGACTGAAGTGGGACAGAGAAGGCACTGCACTGGAAATCTTCAGAAAACCCAAGCTTAGAGAGGATGAAGCTGAGTTTTTTGTTTGATAAATATTGTGTTAAACTGTGATTTTTTTTTTCAAAGGAGGCTAAGGAAAATCCTTACCTGCCTTCAGACATCTATATTCAGTAGGCAAATATCCAAGTAATTTATAATACACATAGTGCCCTATGCTCATTCCCTAATATACAGAGTGCTGTAGGGTGAAAACATAACAAAACACCATACAAGTGGAAAACAACCTTCATAAAGGTCCTTCCCCCACGGCAGCATGGGGGTTGAGCCAACCGTCAGGGAATGCATTGCAGCCTCCGACTCTTGAAGCAGAGCTGGCTGTCACTGAGCACTGCCTTGCATGCTCTGCCTCTGCTCTCCCTCTGGTGAGGTGGGAAGAGTGGAGTACTCCAGGATGATGAAACAAGCTCACCCCTCTTGCAGTCTGTAGCATGTGCATAATAAACAGCACTTTATGCTGTTTCTCTCCAGGTTATTTTTGGAGTTCTTCCTCTATACCTTGTCAGTCTAGGCCTCTCTTTTCTGCTGTTTGGTACCATGTAAATCAGTACAACCTGTTCCATGGTTGGGTTGTTGGCAATTAAACCAGTGCCCCCACCTGAGCTAGCGTGGGTGAGGAGGGTGTGTAGACACTCAGCAAAACTGAAAACAAGACCTGCCAAAGGGCGCATGAGCTCCCTGTGAGCTAACAGCCACCTGTACCTGGAGAGGAGGTGAGCACTGCCAGGTCACTCTGCTTGAAGAATTACGAATGATGCAAAGCAACTCTAGGAGGGTTGCTACAGCATTTAAGGTGCCCCAAGGTTGCAGTGGCCTTGGGACTGACTTGACTTGACTCCTCTATACCTGAAACACTTCAAAGGGTGTGCATCTCCCTCTGTTTTCTGTTTGAAGGGCTTCAAAGGCATTTGAAGTACTTCAAATATTATTTCTGTCCACACCCTTGGAAAGAAATGTTGCCACTATGTATATAAAAATTTAGAATAAAAGCATCTTGTATTAGAGTGACTAATCAGTCATGAGCTAAACTGGCCTGTAGTCAAATCAAGGGCCTAATCCTGCAAAGACTTAAACATGTAACTGTACTTCAACAGGACTACTTATGAATATGCAAAAATTGTTTCAGTACTGATCCAAGTTTGAATATTGCCTATTAGGTAGACACTGATGGCTCAAACCATATTAAAATGTGCTCTGGATGCTTGATAACTTGAGTAGAAAACATTTCAATTTCTGGCTGGAAATTCATCTTAGAACATGAGTGGGCAATTATTTTGTCTGGAGTGACACTTGAAGAGTTTTGGTGAGCTATTGAGGGCTGCAGGGGTAGCCCAGTCTCTTGACGGGTGCCCCGCCCCCTGGTTGCCATCTTTGGACCAGGCGTTCCACTTCTAACCCCTGACTTTGCTACTGGAAGTTCCTCCCCTTGGTGTAGAAGTACTCCTTTTGGGAGGTAGGGTACTGCTGTCTTGAAACTGAAGAAAAACCCCTAGATCACATATTAAAAAATAAAACATCTACTATAACTTATTTTAATTTTATTTCAAAATATTTTTGTCTTGATTTATGTGTGCTTGCATGGTGTATCTAGAGGCAATTGCATAATAGCTCACAATACAGCCCTACTCTTGTACATTGAGAGTGGGGGGAATATGGGGATGTATATGAGTGGGTGTGTGGTGGAGGAGCGCGGGATGTGGGTGGTTGTGGGGTATGTGGTTGGAGTGGGGTTGTGAGAGGGTGTGGGGTTATGGTGGGTGGAGTGGGAGTGTGTGCATGTGTGTATATATGTGTGTGAGAGGGGGGAGGGTCCTCAGAGTCCGTGGAGTGTGTGAGTTCCTGGAGCTGTCTGTGGGGGCAGCGAGCGAAGCCAGTCCCTCCCAGCCCTGTAGCAAGCAGCTCCCTGCACTCCACCCTAATCTCCAGCTGCAGGTGGTGGTAGCATGTGGGGCTAGCCCCACTGAGCTCCATGCAATGAAGCCCGTGGTGCAGGTCATGGGGCTCGGCCAGGGCGGAAGGACAGGGGCTGGCCCAGCTCCATAGCGTGGAGCTCCCTGCCATTCCCTGTAACCTGCACGTAGCAGCAAGCAGTGCCAGGCTACCAGCCCTGTTGTGTGTGGCAAGCATGGATTGCATGTGAGCCTCGCACAGTGTAGCCAGGCAGACCCTGTATCCAGGCTCCGCGCTCTTGCTGCCCCACCCTGGGGTCCCCACTGCCCCCAGGGCACTGGCATAGGCTCCACACTCCTGCCCACTGCTGCCACTCCCCTGTCACTGCTACTTCCCCCACTGCTTCCTTACTTTCCCTCCCATATGCCTGCCCACCCGCCACTGCTGCTCTCCCCTCACCTGCCCGTTGCCACTCCCCCTGCTCACTGCCAATCCCTGCTTGGCTGCCCGCCACTCTGGCTCCAGCCCACCCTAGCCAGGACCACGCGGTTTCCAACTGCATGGCCAAGACTGCGTGGCATGGCATAGAACCGGCCTGGCCTGGCCCAGGCCCTGCCACGTGGGCAAATCGTGGTGGTTTCTGTCCCCCCTTCCTCTTGGCTGGGCCCCGCTGACCACATGCCACGCCATATTTGGCCTGGCCTGGGCCAGGTCCTGTGGGGTGGGCTGATCATGGAGGATTCCTCCCCACCCTCCATCTGATCTTATCTGAGTTTCCCTTCTGACGGGGGGAGGGGAACAGTTGCAGAGTTACCAGGCCAGAAGCCACAGAGGCTTCTGGTTAGGGGCTGAGGGCAGCACTGGGATATTCGGTCCTGCTGTCGCCTTTTCCTGGGTCCTGCTGCTGCTGGCTCCTCAGCATCTTTGATAGGCAGCCATGTGCAGATAATAATTAATTTTCTAAATTATTTTAGGGGCCTGTGAGCCAGATAGAATGGCCTGGTGGTCCAGATCCAGCCTGTGGGCCATATTTTGCCCACCCTTGTCTTACAACCTGTTCCTAATACTACCCTGTATAAACCGTGTTTAAATATGGTAGCTGAACGTGACTAAGGCCTATGCATGAGGTTCATGTGCATGGTAAGAAATAAATCTTATTGTTAGATAGAGTTTTAGTATTTAGAAGTGTCCTAAGTTGTGATGTGTGCTTAGCCTTAGTTTTGTACCAATCAGCATAAGTTTGCCTGAACGATGTTTCATTTTACTGTCTGCTATAATGCAGCACTTTCTGCTATTGCTGTTTAAAATTGTTACGATGTACAATTTTTAGGTCGTCAGTGTGGACATGCCAATTACTGATGATGCTGAGCTCCAGAAGTATTCAAAGGTATGGATTCTTATTTCACTTTTGCCTTGAGATACAATGTCAAAATAAATAGTTTGGCATGATCCAAAACCACAGCTGTGAATACTTGGGATACAACCAGTTTTGTGCTTCTGGCTCATCCCTCACGTGTGGCTTATGTTCTAGACACTGTTTGAATTTCTCAAATTACATTTTATTTTTGAGTTAAGGATTGGGGGAGAGCCTGGGAAAACAGCAAACAATATGTCACCAGTGTCCTTAAACTTTGGCTGTCTTGATAAGGTGGGAACAACACGGTTATACAGAATTGAAGCCCATCAGTTCTGAATCTAAGGTTTTTGGCTTTAGTACCTTAGCTGATTGATTGGGGCAGAACTTGAAAAAGAAGTCGTGCATGATGAATGTACCAACCTTTTTGGGCTGTCAGCTGGATGAGTGGAGCTGGGACGATCCATGGACCAAATTGGACCATGCACACTAGGTCCTGTGCTGCTTCCACCTGCCAGGCTCAGACCCTGGGGCCCAGGCCATCCTTCCAGCCCTGTTTGCCAGGATAGGTTCTGGGGCCATATACAGCCTCTGGCCAGCCACGTACACTGGGATCAGGTCCTGTGCTGCCCTGTATGCCTGATCTAGCCTGCCGTGATCCCAGCAGACCCATGGGGAGCCCTCGCAGACCAAATGACAATACGAGAGACTGGATCTGGCCTGTGGGCTGGGGGGTTGAGCACCCCTGTTTTAGCTGCACTGACTTCATAAAACTCATCAAGTGAAGTTTCAATTCAGCAAAGGGATCTGCAAGTATGGATTCTTCCTCTACAGCTGGGGAATTTTATTGGCTTCAGTATCAGACCCTAAGTGACATCAGTTTTCTGCAGTAGCTGAAGTTTCAGTGACTGTGCAGCCCAGTACACCGCACAGCTCTGATGCATCCTAGAAGGGATACTGGTATGGCCCACTGTGGCTGTGGAATGAAAAAAGAGAAAGCATGGCCCCTAGCCAGTTATAGACAGGAGGAACAGAACAGTACCTGGCCCTATTGCTACCTGCGTGCTCAGAAGCAGTTGGAAAATGAGCAGTACTTGAATAATAAAATACAGGAAAGCTTGGCGAAGTAAGGGAGTTGATACTGTTACCTCTGTTACCCCCTTTAATTGTTTCCTTATTTGCATTACTGTTGTCTAGATTGAGTCTCCTGGCATGCTCTCCTTGCACTGAGAAGATTTTTCTAGTGGTAGCAGGTAGACATTTGCAAGTTAGAGATTTACTACGGAGGAATAAGGCTGTCCCTTGGGAAACAGCTAGCACAAAAGCAGTGGAACTCCACTTGGAAATAAGGATGCAAGTGGTAGAAACTGATGTCAAAATACAGATAGGATGTATTCCCTGTCCCAAAAAGCGTTATAAATGTCCTCAAGGGATGAGGGGCTCATTGCATGATTAGGTTTTATTGGAATCCTGTAAAATAATGATTAGGACATAATCTTCACCTTTTGCTCATATACCTTTAATAAAGAACAGCTCTGGTTTGATCATGATAGACTGTAGATGTTATTTTTTAATACCTTACTTCTTTTTCCCCCAGTGCAATGATGCAACTGAAAAGAATAGTATGATGCACATTTCTTTCTCCCAAAGGATAGACTATTGCTTTTTCACTACACAGTAGTAAAACTGAATAGAATATGTGTTGGATATAACACTAGGGATGTCAATGTCAACATGTAGTAATCATAATATACATTTGACTTCATTCGAATTGGTTAGCCATTGAACATTAAATGCATTTATGGTGAAACATAAAACTAAATATTTATTTGCAACTTATTCACTGATTATATTTTTGGAAGCTATTGCCTATCCACACTTTAAGATTGGGAGTTGAACTTGATACATTCGATGGACATCATTACATATCATCAATTGCTTCAGATGGTCCAATTGCTATGCTTGGCCTCCTCCAGCTGGAAGATGAACTTCTAGAGGTAAAGTGCGAAGAAATGGTCTATCTGTTTAGTGGGTCTAATATGATTGTACTACTTTTTATTTTAGCTGATACCATTGCAAATGTGTTGCATTAAATCATAGGTGGAAGAAACAGTCCTCTCTCCTTCTGTTCTGCCTTACAAGGGTTGTATAAGACTTATACAGTTGTTTGGGAAATGCTTGATACTAAGGTGATAAAGCAGAGGGAACCTCTGATGGTCGTATTTTATCAGCATTCCCCAAATTAAGAATCTATTAAACATTTTGGATTTAAGTCTTGCATTTCTGTGGCAGACAGTATTTTTAGTTCTTTGTGTCCACCTTAGAAAACCCATAACAGCTGGTAACCTTATAGCTGTGGTTTTCATTGGCCCTTTTCACTCTCTGAGGCTTGGTTGCTGTATATTCAAAGAAAGCTTGTTCACGTGACCAATCGCAGTGTGTCGATAGAGTATATGCAACGTAGATAGTTGGGCTGCTTTGGTGTGATCAGACTAGGATGGGGACCATTTTACTTTGGGAGGCCAAACATTTTGTTTAAAGTCTGTCTATCCAGCAGAAAAGATTGTAACTAAGTTTCTTCTTTTGAATTCTTGCTCTTTCTTTGTCAAACACTTTTCGAATCAGAATCCATTCTAGTGGAACTTAAAGAACAAGGTCTTATTGACTTCAGTAAAAGCAGGATCAGGCCCTTGGCTAGATTAGCTCATTTTTGGCCCAGGGCTCAGATGGCCTGGGTTATGCTTTTCTGTTTATACTTTTAGCACCAAAAATTCATACTTGTGTTGCTAAGGGCTAATGCATTTTCTTTTATTATTGCTTAGGAGAGAAATTCTGGACTCCTAGATGAAAGAGTTAATAAAATGTTGAAAGTGTTACAGTATTTCATAGATTTCTAGGGTCGGAAGGGACCGATTAGATCATCTAGTCCAACCCTCTTGTCTAGGCAAGAAAGAGCACTGGGGTCAAGTAACTCCAGCCAGGTGCTTGTCTAATCTCCTTTTGAACACCTTCAAGGTAGGGGAAAGCACCACCTCCCTTGGAAGCCCATTCCATATTTTGGCAACCCTCACCATAAAGAATTTCTTCCTGATGTCCAATCTAAATCTATTCTTCTTGAGTTTATGTCCATTATTTCTAGTAACCCTGAGGGGTGTACCCTGGTAAATCTCTTAGTTCTTAAACAAAAGGTCAAATACTAAAAGCAATAAACCAAACTATGAGCTAATTGTTCACAAAACTTTGTGGTATAAGTTTGAACAGTTTTGATTGTATGAGTCCAGAAGTATGTCCAGAGCTAGCGAACTTCAGCTTTTTTCCCATTTGTACCTTAAAGTGAAACAAAAATGTGCTGCAGGGCTAAAACTGTATATGTCAAGTTTCAGCCCAGAGCACATCTTTACAGCCAAGTTATAAATCCACTTAAATAGGGGCTTGTAATGAAAAATATGACAGTCCCTTAACTAAAGCAAACAGTGCTACCCAAGTGCTGATATAACAATTGGAGATGGTGTAGATTTTCAAAGTAATGAGAGAGCAACATTTTTAAATGTATAATGAGATTAAATAAAATTTTAAAATGATTTATTTGATGAATGATAATAGAAATGATAGTACCTTTTTAGTTTCTAATTTTAACTGATTTAACTTCTAGTGTGGCCTAATGCTTCCTTGCCACTCACCCAATCAGTTTTGTTCTAAAGCCTCCGCTGTGTTCGTTCAGTGGAATAGCTAACATGGTCCGATCAATGGATGGGGCATCTGGCACCCTTCCTGCTTTGAGACTGATTTCCAGCAGTTATAAACGAAGAGAGAGGGAGTCCCCAAGTCTGCTTATGAACATATAGTAGTCCTTCTCCATCAATCAAAGACTGCTGAGAAACAATAGTAACTTCCCACCACACTAGCACTTCAAATGCAATTTAAAAAACCCCCCTGCGCAGATATTTCTGTTTAAATTATTAACTAATGGTTGGCCTGATTGTTCAGCAGGCATTACATTTCTGGATTACAGTTTGTAGTCTGTGCTGAAAACACATGGAGTTTGCAGTCTGCCGTTTTAGAGGAAATGACTGCTCCTCTCTAGATTTTTCTCCTGAGCTGCTTTGCAATGAGAGGGGTGCTGGGTAGTTCCTCAGCAACATGTGCTATTTTTAAACTGCAAAATCATGGATACAGGGAAGAAGATTGGAGATTATGGGGAAAGTGATGCATGTGTGACAAGGAGGATGTTGATCCTACCTATCCAAGCCAGCCTGAACTTTGTACATTGGGATGGAGATCTAGAAAATAACATGGAGCAGATCCTGACTTGTATGCTTTTAAGTAGAATGACTCAAAATCTTTCAGTTTTTGTGTTTTTTGGGAAATGTTTCAGAAATTGAGTTTTTTCTTATGGAAGCATCTGATTCTCTCCTTAGAAAATTTTCAGGTTTTCAGCCAGCTCTACTTTTTGTTTTAGTCTGTAATGAGAATTGGAGGGCTCTTTGGCATGGGACCCACACCTCACATGGTGCCCACTTTGCACAAAGTGCTGGCCAAACCTGGCATGCGGCTGGCCATGTTCAATCCAGCCTCACAGCACTCATCTGGCCCATGGGACCAAATCAATTTAATAAAGTTTAAACAAAGTTTAACACCCATGACACGTGATCAAAACCATCACTGAAACTAACATTAATTGGCACCCTTGGTAGTAGACTTTCCAGAGGGACCCTGGATTGAATGAGATACGGAGAGCAAATAACCCTCTGAACAGAACATAGTTCTGACATACAGGTGTAGAAACTGCAGTTACTTACGGCATTCCTGTTTTGTGGAGGAACAGAGAGCTTCAGTCATGTGAGTTGCCGAACCAGCAGTGTGTATGGACCCTGAAAAGCACTTTAAGTAAAATATTCTGACACTAGAATTAATTTCTAAACGCACTTTCAACTGCAGTCAAGTATTGTAATAATCAGTTTTCTTGTCTGTACTTTAGAAAAGTCTGGCAATAAGTTAGGTAGAAAGAGTGAATAAAAATGGCTTTTCCAGTTCAGTAGGTGAGATCAACATACCTAGTACAGGAGGGATTGGGACTAAAAACAGAGAAAATGGTAGTGAACAGGAAATGAGGGAGATGAAACTAAATAGAACAAAAGGCATGTATTTCCATTATGTAGTAATAAAGTCGCCAGAATCAAGGGATAGAATTACGGTCTTACAGTAATTTATGTATATCTTCGAGGGGTACATTAACAAAACCACTCAAGCTTCACTGGAATCCCTAGATGAAATTAGACCTTTATGTACAGTTGAGGAGGACAATTATACCTCCTATTGTAATGGGTTGAAGTAAACAAGAGAATAACTTTTATTGCGGAACCGGATCAATATCCTTTTTAAAGATCTGAATGGTGATGTGTATGTTCTCTTTTCTGCCTAGGTAAATGGAGTCCAGCTTTATGGAAAATCCCGCCGCGAGGCAGTTTCTTTTCTTAAAGAAGTGCCTCCTCCATTCACTCTGGTTTGTTGTCGGCGCCTTTTTGATGATGGCAATGAGTCTTTTGTGGATGAGCTCAGCACCATTGAGGTTTCATCTCCAGAGCCAAAGGTTGTAATAATGTAGTGTGTAGCTTAGTTGCAGAGAAACGCATTCATTTTCTAAAGACAGTGTTGTGGTTTTCCTTTTATTTACCTTAAAGCAAAAATTTCTTGAAATACATTGACATGATTATGCAAACCAGCTCTTCTCACCTACCTTGTAAATCACTGTGTACTTTTCACCATTGGTTCATTTGGAAATGTCAAACAAATTTAAAGGCCTGAGAAATAGGGCTGCGCAAAGCTTTAGTCACTGATTCAATACAGAGGAGATTCAGTGGCCAAATCTCCGAATCTGAATCACATCAGGAGACCCATTAATCTCTGCAAATCGAATTGGAAGCCTCCGATTTGATTTGGAGAGATTCGACAATTCAGACATAGACACAGCTTTATATGTTTTTTCTGCATACCTCAAGGTACCAGGTGGCTCGTGAACACTGAGATGCTGGGGCGGATGGAGATCCCACGGGAGCATGGAGGGGTCCCCAGCGCACTCGGCAGCAGACCCGGAAATGGACCAGAAGCACTTCAGGTTCACTTCTGTGTCCACCGCAGAGTATGTGGGAGACCCCCTCCTGCCCCCTGGCTTGGCAACTGGTGCTTCCTGGGTCTGGGGCAACACCCAGGGTCTCCCCGTGGCTGATTGCCAAGCTGGGGGGGAACATGGGGGATGTCTGCCACGTGCTCCGCAGTGGACCTGGAAGTGCACCAGAAGTATTTCTGAGTCCGCTGCTGAGCATGCGGGGGGCCCTCCTGCACTCCTGTGGGATGTTCAGTCTGCCGCAACATCCACAAGCCCCACCTGGTACCTCGAGGTACCTAGAAAAAACATTTAAATCTGTTTAAAGCTGCGTCTATGACTGAACCACTGATTCTCTAAATCGGAATCGATTCTTCAGATTTGGATTCGGCCGAATTGAATCGGGACAGTAATCCGAATCGAATCATTGTCCCCCAAATTGTGCTGAATCCTAATTGAATACAGCCTGCTTCGCATGCCCTGTCTGAGAAACCAGCTCAGTCCCAGAGGATTTTACTCTTTACTTGTACTGGGTCATTGCCTGTAAGTTGCAGCAGGAGCTTATCTTGCTCTTTGCTGAAGCCTGTCAGTGTGGTTGGTGCCATAAAACACTGAAGATAACACCTAGTTCCCATCCTGTGGTGTTTTCAGTCTTATTAATACAGACACTATAGCTGACACAATGTACCAGATAATAGGATATAGCACTGATAGACTGGTTTGCTAGGAAGTGTTGATTTGCTCAGATTGCTTTGTCATGTTCAGTGTTGTCCAGTTGGTCCAGCTTTCTTTTTAAAGCAAAGCACAAGATCATGTGGGAACATTGTGCCACTTACAGTTGGATAAAAAATACCATCTAGCTTAGGGTAATAGAAGACCCAGTTTCATTGCCTGAATGAGTGTGTGACTTGGCCTTAATTGGCATAATAGTCCCAGTAGACTGAGTCCTTGAATGGGTTGAAATGGAACATGTTGAGGAGCAGAAATGAAGCAGTACATTTGCATATAAAAAATTGCATTTATACAGTAACAATATTGATTGATTTAGTGACATTTTCTCTGATGCTAACACACATGTTGTCACTTGTGCTTGGTCTAGTTTTGAGTGTGTTGCTCTGACCTATTTCAGAGCTGTGACAGTATTTAGTTTTTATGATATTTCATGTTTACAACTTTTCTACTTTTTCTGTGGTTTGCTGAGGTAGGTTACTAGACTCTTCATTGTGCTATACATACAATGTATGTAAATCACAAGCTAGCTTGCTGACTGCGTGTCACATTTGTCATTTCTAAGCATAATAGGTGAGCAAGATCTTTGAATTATACTAAATCTTAGCCTTGCCCCCATTAGTTGATTACTTCCATCTTGTGGATCAAGGTCATGTAAAACTAGGGAAATAGGAGGATTAGCATTTATTTCTATTGTGAAAGACTTAAAATTCCAAATTTAAAACTTGACTCTTATAGCATTCTCCTCATTATATAATGGTTGCTCTTTTTTCTCTCTTTTCTGATCTAACTTTTTATTGACAGCCTTCCTGAGAGGATGTTTCAGACTAAAATATGGACGTTGTTTTCAACATGAACACAAAGTGTTTCCATTCACCTTTTATGAAGGGTCCCTGCTAGTCTCACCAACAGCATTTTACACCATCGTGTTTGCCATTGCATTTTTCCAAATGTTTTTCACCAAATTAGATCAGTTGTGTACATTTGTCAATACTGTCCAAGTGAAAAGTTTCCCTTTCCCTCAGAGCTACTTCCATATTATTTCTGTTGCCTACCACAAAGATCAAACGGCAGTATCTGGAATTAAACTTAGTTCTTTCTTTGGCCTAGTAGTGAGGTTCTTTGCTACCTGAATGCTTGAAAGAACAGCTTTAATTATATGCAGTGGCATGAAGTCCTTAAATTTGCCAATGGCAATTTTCATTTAAATTTTTGAAATATCATTATTCCTGCCAGTAGATCTCTCTTCTTATTTCTTTTTTTTTTAAATGCCATTTTCCCCTTCACAGTAGTACATAAATAGAAGAAGAGGAATAAAATTGTAATCTGTTTTGGGTTAGGTAACAAGTGATAACTCTTCAACACTCTTTTTGGAAAAATATGTATGGGAAGCCAGTGTATCAAAGCGGTTTTGTACTTATCAGTCTTCTGGAGTTTTAATATTAAAGCAAAAATATACCATTTGTTTGCATAGCTTTGCAAACTTAATTGAATGCTGAAGTTTTCTTCCTATTTATGTCTAATAACACCAGCACATATTATGATTGTAATGAAAATGTTCACAACCTTCCTTCTGTCTTTTCATGGGCTTTCCTCTGTGATGTTTAAAACCTTGTTTTGAGAAATCTTTTTTTTCCTTTTAATGCATCTAATGAGGTGGCTGAAGTCTATTACAGTATGGCAGGTTGGTGACGTTATTACAGTTTGTTATATAATAATGTTTTTCAGTATTTGTGTGTACTGTTAAGTCCTAATCTTGTAAGCACGTATGCATGTGCTTAGCTTTGTTATTGTGAGAAACCCAGCTGGGACTAGCAAAGTTAAGCGTATACATAAATGAGGTGCTTGCAAAATGGAAGTCTTAACTCTGAAGAAAGTTTTTTAATAACATGAAAAATCACATGATAGACAACGGTTCTATTTAGGATAAGTGAATCATTAATAGAAGCAGAAGTGTTGAATGAACAAGTTTTTAATTAAGAACTGAAAGGATAGCTTTTGAATTGGGTATTTTGTTTTGCAGATGATACCTGAAGTAAACCTTAATCCCGAGGAGGAGGAAGATGGAGAATTAGCATTATGGTCTCCTGATGTGAAAGTCATTGAGCTGGAGAAACACAGTAATGGCTTAGGATTCAGCATTTTAGATTATCAGGTATACTTTTCTATATTAACAAGTATTGAAAATACCTCGGACCCTATTTTCTCTCTTAGTGTTCCTCAGAATTTCCTGAGAATGCCAAAATGTTATATTCAGAGTAATCTGTTTAACATGTGGACTCAAAATTTTGGAGGAAAAGTAGTTTATTTTGAGGCTGACTCAAGTTGTACTGTAGACTTTCTTTTCATTCTTACTGATAACTGGGTATAGTAAAGTGTAAACTCTTTAATCAGGCCCCTGATTCTGAGTTTAAAGGCTGGGTGTTCTCTTGTTTACTAGGAATTACTTTTCAAGTAACTGAACTACGTGGGAATGCTTTCTCATTAATTAAACCTTTTTTGTATTAGTTGTTGATTGCTTGATCAATTCTCTAGCCCCACCCCCGCCAGTTTAGTTAAAAATAAATTTATTATAGATCTGCTGTCACTGGTTCTTTAGTGCCCGATCCTGAGCCCATTGCAGTTAACGGAAGGACTCTTGTTGTCTTCAAGAGGCTCTGGTTACGCCCATAAAATGTAACTCAATTTTCCAAAATATGGATTATCATCTAATTTCAACAGCTATCAACCCTCCAGTGAAGGCAGATGGATTTGGTGTGATACCCAATTTACCTCTGTTAAAAATAAAAATTGGGGATTTATTTGTCATATAAACTCATAACTGTTAAATTGCTTACCGTCTAAAGAAGGTAAGTACTTTGCTACTTTAAGCTTTTAGGCCAGTGTACCAGAGACTGAGCAAGAATTTCCAATTATTTTCTTTAATACTGAGAAGGAGATGAATCTCGAGACACCAATAATAGCTTGAAGCAAGATTACACTCAAAAATAGCCTCCTTTTTATGTAAAAATGTTGTGGGAGAGATTACATAGGCTTGATTCTTAAGCTCCTTAGAAATGAAGGACCAAATTCTTTGGTGCAATTGGGCAAAATTCCGAGGGCACAGCTTTGCTAACTTCCTTTACATCAGCAAAGGTTTTGACCTTAAATAAATGTGTAGAAATATCAGAATTTGAGGTCAGGATGGAATGCTTTTAATGTTTTCAGTCAAGATGATATGTTTTAAACCTTTAGGCATCATAGTTGCAAAGAATTAAGATTTCTGGATTGCTCTTTGTAATAACATACACAGCTGAACGCTGCCTAAACATTGTGCTTTAATAAAACAAAATGTATTCTTTCATTGTATATACATGTCAAGTGATATAAAATCAATTATATTTTTATATAATAAGACATGAATCGGGAACAGATTAAAATAAAATACTTGAAGTATTATGCAAAACCATTAATTCCATATTTTACTAGCGTGATTTAAAATTACTGAAAATAGATCCGGTTAGTCATTTTTGCTGACACGTGTTGTGTTGCAGTGCCAGCTTTACAGTAGAGTTGCTAGGACTCTCTACAGAGCTGTAATACAGAGATTTGCTTTTTAATTTCTCATAACCAGAATTAATGAAGGCTTTAATAATGGACTTTTTATTTACTTACTCACAAATGCAAATGCATTAGTGATGTTGTGATACAGCTACATTTAAATACTTTCAAATCAATTTTCAATCAGTGGCAAACTGCTTAATCTCATCTCTTTATAATGTCAAGATATTCGTGTACAAAGCATCTGATTTTTTGTTTGTCTATAGGCTTTACTTTCTTCATCTGTGCTGCTGTTTGTATTGCATGTGGATTGATTATGTATATAAATCTGTAACTGAATGCACAAACCCATCATTTTCATCTGCATTATTGAGGGGAAAAAGTCTACCCTAGTGCAAAGAACTGCATTAGCTGTTGGGAAACTATCTAAAACTCTTACAGGAGAGGTTTTCAAAAGCACAGATGACAGCTCAGTGCTTGACTCAAAAAGAAAGTCTAACTGAAGGGCTCTGAATGCCTAACTGCCATGTCTGCCTTTGAAAATTTACCTCTTGAAACTTAATACTGCTCTAAAAATGTAAGTGCTTAGCCACATGTTCTTAGCTTACTGGAAAGGGTTCAAGCTTAACAGTGGCAAATATATTGCTTACAACACATGAATGCTATTTATAAGCAAAATGTATAAATAGTGCCCATTGTGACATTTAGATGACCAGTAACTTAACTTAAAGATCTGGCATAGTACGAGATGATTAACAAGTTCTAATATCTCTTCCTGTGGATGAAATAAATGATAAATACAGATAAATAAATCTAATTTCTCCCAGGTAGAGGGAGGATTGTATGGGGTAGACAAAACTGTGTTTGTGACATGTTGCATTTCAAGTTTCTCTAAGCTGTAAACTTATAAGTGGTGGGTATTTGGGGGCAGGGGTTTATGACACTGGTCAGTATCAGATACTTTAGGTGAAGGTCCACAAATTTGCAGTTCTAGAAGGACCTGTTCATATGGTGGAGGGAAATGTTATCCTTCTCTGATTGGTTTGTGTGTATAGTCAGGGGTATGAGAGTTTTCCTCTGTTGTAATTGTTATAATCCAGTCTGATATAACAAAGGACTAAACATTTGCAGGGATAATGAGAACACCTTTCTTAAAACTGGATTACCCTCCTGGCCTCTCAGATAATTTGTGCCTCGGTGTAGGATTTCTAACACTTCATATTTATTACAAGTCTAGTCATGTTTCTGAAAAAGCAGGACTAATACAAACTCTTGGTAAACTAGGAATTTGAGTACTTAGAGAATTGAGACCTGAGATCATGAAATTATTACTCTGGAATATTAATTTTTAATGAAATATGTTTCTCCTAATGTTTTATCTGTAAAATAAAAGAGCATATCCCAAATGACTGAAAAGGTATTCCCAGAAATGTATAAACATAACTTCAACTAATACATATTGAACACTTAAACTAATTACAAATTAATTATACTAACACAGAGTAATTGAGACTATAGCTATCTTGTCCCCATATTTGCTCCCCCGCCATTCTTCTGACACCTTAAGCAATTTATATACTTTAAAATAGTGGATTTCTCTGTTTACATGGTAGAAAATGTTACTAAATCTGTGGTGTTATCACAGGAGGTGTGTGACATAGCCTTTTGTCATTTGCCTGTAATGCGTAGGCAACGTTTTTTGGCTGGAGTGCCGAAAAACCCACAATGCCTACTTTGGAAGGTGCCACAGTGCTGGCATGCCAGAAAAACAAAATGAAGGCAGGGGGTACGTGGCAGGATGCCCTGCTTGTGCCCCTTGCACCCCACCCAAAGGCCCTGCCCCTCAGCTCTGCTTGTACCCTTGCTGCCCCTGCCCCTCAGGCCTGCTGCCCCTTGCCCCCCAGCCCAGGCTCCATGGCTATCAGCAGCTACCCAGAACTTGGACCAGCTGCAGCCAGGAGGTTACAAACAGCTTCTGCCTCTCTGCCCCAGCCGTGGCCCTAGCTGCCTCCCAGACCCGGCCTCTGTGGAAGCAGGAGATACCTCGGGCTCCAGGGAGGCAGCAGATACTGGCAATGCTCCCTGCTGTGCTGCACTCCCGGCCCTGCTGCCCTCCCCTGGGCCCTTCCAAGTGCAGCGTGTGCAGTGTGGCAGCGCGCAGAGGGACCGCACAGGGAAACTGCCTGCTGCTGCAAGCTCAGTGCTGCCTGGGTCACACTTCCCCTGTATGCATGGGAGCACTGTGGGCAGTACACAGGGTTGAGCCCCTTGCTGCTGCCCCCACCTGCAGGGTAAATGTGGCCAGAGCAGCAGGAAGCTTGGAGCGACAGGTAGCTTTCTGTGCCCCCCCATTTTGCCGTACCATGCTAGGTTTCACACGTTGCTCTGCAGAAGTGGTGGCAAGGGCAGCACAGTGGGGAGCATTGCTGGTATCTGCTGTCTCCCTGGAGCCCAGGACTGGATCTGGGGCTGGGGCCAGGGCTGGGAGGCAGCAGGTGTTTGTAGCCTCCCGGCTGCAGCCGGTCCAGGTTCTGGGTAGTTGCTGATAGCTGTGGAGCCTGGGCTGCTTGCAGCAGGCCTTCCATCCTCCCAGCCAGCTACTGGGAGCAGCCCAGGCTCCGTGGCTATCAGCAGTTACCACAAACCTGGGCCGGCTGCAGCTGGGAGACTGCAAACCACTGCTACCTCCCTGCCCGGCCCTGGCTGTCTCTCAGCCCTGGGCTCCGGGAAGACATCAGGTGCCAGCACTGCGCCCTTTGGGGCCGGTGCCGTGGGCAGCATGGGGCTGGGGCCAGGGCCCATGCCCACCAGCAGTGAGGGGCTGAGGCTGTGGGGCTAGGGCCCCCCAGCAGCATGGGGCTGCAGCCAGGGCTATGGGCAACAGAGGGCTAGGTTTGGAGCCTGGCCATGGGCAGCATGGGTTGCGGCTGGAGCTGGGGCCAGGGCTCGCTGGCAGCATGGGGCTGGGGCTGCAGCCGGGGTGTCGCTAGTGCTGGGATGGGGCTGGTGGCAGCACTGGGCTGAAGCCGGGGCTGGGGCCATGCAGGGCTGGGGCCTGTGGCAGTGGTGGTACCAGCTGGTGCTGGGCCCGTGCAGGGCCGGGACCCACTGGCAGCACGTGGCTGGGGCCATCAGCAGCACTGGGATGGGGCTGGGTCCCGCGCAGGTCCACAGCCCCAACCCCAACCCCAGCCTCATCCCGATGTTGCTGACAGTCCCGACCTGGCAGTGGCAATGTGCTGGGGCCTGCCGTGGTGGTTAGGTCTGGGGCCAGGCCTGCCAACAGCTGACACCACCGCCGCAGCTGGGGCCTGGGCCCAGCAGGCCCCAGCTGGCTGCTGGGGCTGTCAGCAGTGCCAGGGCCTGCACAGGCCCCGGCCCCATCCTGATGCTGCCAACAGCCTGGGCCCAGCAGTAGCACTGGGCTGGGGCTGGGGCTGGCGATGGCAGTGGTGCTGGCTGGGGCCAGGCCCACCAGCAGCACTTGGATGGGGCCCCAACCCCGGCCTCGTCCCTGGCCTCATCCCAGCACTGCTGATTTCCCTGGCCCAGCAGCAGCAGTGGAGGTGCTGGCCGAGGCCAGGCCCGTTGGCAGTGCCGGGATGGGGCCGGGGC